GCATGCCATGCCAGAATTACGTGCATGCCATGCCAGAATTACGTGCATGCCATGCCAGAATTACGCGCATGCCATGCCAGAATTACGTGCATGCCATACCAGAATTACGCGCATGCCATGCCAGAATTACGTGCATGCCATGCCAGAATTACGTGCATGCCATACCAGAATTACGCGCATGCCATGCCAGAATTACGTGCATGCCATACCAGAATTACGCGCATGCCATGCCAGAATTACGTGCATGCCATGCCAGAATTACGTGCATGCCATACCAGAATTACGCGCATGCCATGCCAGAATTACGTGCATGCCATACCAGAATTACGTGCATGCCATACCAGAATTACGCGCATGCCATGCCAGAATTACGTGCATGCCATACCAGAATTACGTGCATGACATGCCAGAATTACGAGAAGGAAAAGATTCACAGGCAATGCTATATTCGTTCAGCGTTATTCGAAGGCTCCAGCCAAAAGGTGGAATTCTACGAAATATTGCATGATATTCTGCTGTGTGATAAAGCGGACCGCGAAACACTATCTTATTTAAATATTTATTTCTGCTTATTAATACTTCAGTCAGCAAATATAATTTCATAAACGAAATAATAAGCTGTGGTATTATGGTGTTTGGGGTATTTTATGCATGATATTATAAATTAATTATTGTATCTTATATCAACAGTTTAATCCTGACTTAATTTGATAATTTCATAGCAGGTTATAATGTTTGTTAAATATAATGTTACATAAATGTTGAATTTTTCAGTTGTCAATAACCGCTTGAAATATTAAGTGGGGCGTCTACCCCCCAGAAAAACTTCCACATTTACTAACGGATCTTTCTGAAACTTCACACATATATGTAAAACCGAAATACAAGCAGATTTTGTTTGTATGACTTTTCGGAAAAATTCATAGAAAACGTGAAATTCATAGGAAACGGTAAAAAGGGGGTACTTTAAAAACCTATCTCCTACAGTTTTCAAGCTACAGCATTGAAAGACACACCATTCGATTCGTAAAGCACATACCAATCGAGTAACGAAGCCCGATTTTGATTTTTGCCTTAGTTTTTTTACACGTATTTCCCCGTTTTCTTCTCATTTTCTTCAGATTTTCCCCCCTCCCCCCATTTTGAATCCAAACTATGCACAAATTCGAAAAAAAGCTTCGTTACTCGATAGGTATGGTCTTTACGAATCGAATGGTACATGTCTCATCGCTGTAGCTTCAAAGCTCTAGGAGGATATCGGTTTGCCGTGACAATAAGTGTGAATGTTCCGGAGAGCGCGACAAAGTCCCGCGCGCATCGCAATAGGCACTCAATGTAGCAAGGATGCAAAACTAAACGTTACTGGAGCTTGATTCCAGTCAAGGATAGTGGGAGCGACTGCATGCACACCTCCTCATACGACGTCAGGCGGGTAACTAAGGCGCACCTCAAGCAGACACTATTTAAAGTGCTCACCACCACTACTACACCCACCACCAGTACTACACCCACCACCACCACTACTACACCCACCACCACCACCACTACCACACCCACAACCACCATTACATCCACCACCACCACACCCACTACACCAGTCCCTCCATTGCAAGCAAACGTGACTGGCACCTGCCAAGTGACTGTAAACGAATTTTACTTCAACGTTACGAGCCCCAACTATCCTGCCGACCATCCGCCATGTCCCTACTGCCTCATCAAGTTCTCATCGGTCAGTGTTCGATTATTAATATTAGCTTGACGTTCAATACTGTCAATGTCCAATAAGCAAAGGTTAGGATCTAAACGATGCAGGTGTTCTCTTGTCCAACGTGTATAGAGTCCAGTACGAGTTGATCTCATGAGTCATATGAGCAGAATTCGATTCACTGATCGTGTCTTTTCAAGATGACAATTTCTTAAACTAAAAATAATTGGTTTAGCATAGCCTTATTGACAATAAAGTTATTCTTCACTATAGGATCAGAATCGATTTGATTTATTCGATGCTCAATTTTTTAATATTTTCGAATAAATAAACGGGTACTATGTGTGCGTCACGGCTTGTATTGGACGCTGTGAGTTTTTTTCTCATTGGATCAATTATCATCTGTAATTACTGTTGTACGTTTTATATGATTTAATCATTATATTTAAATATACAAAAATAATAAGATTTATATCTAATATACATCATTTTTCTTATCACTCTTAATGTCCAAGCTGGAGCCCAAATACCTCCGCGTGATGCCCGAGACTCCAGACATCGGCTGGTTTGATTGGATGACTGTCAGCGGAGTCTACAAACAGAAGCAGCAGTGAGTTGACATTTAGCGCTTATTTGAGTGCCTCTTGCAATCTTTTTATCGCTGAGAGCTTCTTGCTTCAGGCTTGGTTATTTGTTCCTAACTAACGACAGAGACCTGGCTTGGCAGGGCATAAGCACTCGCTTATGCCATCACTCGCTTATGCCCTGCCATCTCAATTATCAACAATAATTGGGCTCCAATCCCAATTATTAACAACAATAATCGGAGCTTACTGAATCTAGCCTTAACGCTGACAGAAGCTGTTAAAAGAGGTACTGTAGCACTTAACACGTTGACTCCGAAGTGGTACATATACGTACCACAAAATATATTTCTCCAGGACGTAATGGTGGTCGTAATCTCCGTTATTCAAGATTGCCAGATGTCCTAAAAACGGCCAAATCCGCGAACAAAAAAGACTAAAAGAGGCCTATAACTCAATATAGGGTCGCCTGCCGAAGACAACCACTGCCCTGGATGTACTGGACCATCATGATTCCTGCCTTCCGGAACGTAGCCTTCAACACTTCAAGCCGTCCGTATCTAGGCCGTGGGTCGAACCAGCCCTCGGTCGAACGGCCACTTGTCGAAGGACGATAAATTTTGGAACAGAACTATGCTATCTGAAACCCAACCTCAGATGCGGTGAACAAATTGGTGGTGCACGGCTGCGCTCCTCTCAATATATACGAGAATATGTATATGAAGGTTCCGGTGTAAAAATTCGGGAGCGCAGCCGTGCACCACCAACTTTGTGCACCAATAGAATAGAATAGAATAGAAGTGTCGGCGTTGAAGACATAGGCCCATGGCCTGTTGCCGATTCTTGAACTTTTCGTGACTTGATTCACAAGGGATCCGGCCTTTGGAACCCGATCTTTCCATAACTGACGATTGATTGAGATAGCTGCTGGACTTATTGCCTGCTCCGTAATTTGCTAGGCATTTTAAGACCTGTCTCTTATACACATCTAGATGTGTATAAGAGACAGGCAGTAGTTGACTTCAAAGCATTCCCTAACATGCCTATTTAATTGCATCATTGAAATTTTAAATTTGAAAGAGTAATAAGATTTTATAAAAATATGTATTTTTCATATGAATGTACCACATGTGTACACATCGCGATTCTGAGAAGTACAGCGTGTACATATATGGCGCACATCGCGGCCAACGTGTTAAAAACCGAAATCAAGTTGAGTAAAATTTGTACAAATTGTTAGATTGTTCAAAATTGTTACAGACTTGAGAGCAAGCGGCTTTCAGAGAGCGGCGATCACAGCGGCTAGGAAGAGGTAGGCGCGAGAACAAAGGCTTATTGTCCCGCGTGGGCCAGGGGTGGGCGTTACCCTCGCGCGGCAACCCTCACTGACTCTACAAGTCCGCGTTATTTGAAAATGAAAACACTTTCACTTGTTTGGCTTGTTCATTCTATTTGCACTCACTTTTACTGACTTCACTGAACTGAACTGAAATTCGGTTATTCTCTGGCACGGATCATAAAAAAAATGCGAAAAGAGTTCCGAAAATGGCACAGTAAAAAGTTAAAAATTTAGAAATTTGGGACCACGAGCACGAGCGTCCGCTCTCGACCACGGTTTAACGGAGACCTGAATAAGCCCTGAATCGAACGCCTTGGATCTCTCCGGACATCCACCAATCAGCCGTGAACCACTTGGCTTTGTCCTTCTCCAGCCTTGCATAGAACCTGCCGTGCACCACCAGGCCGTGGATCAAATATGACTTCCGGGCATCGTTAAATTACGTAATTATATACGTTCACCGCATCTGAGGTTAGGTTTCAGATAGCATAGTTCTTTTCCAAAATTTATCGTCCTTCGACAAGTGGCCGTTCGACCGAGGGCTGGTTCGACCCACGGCCTAGATACGGACGGCTTGAAGCGTTGAAGGCTACGTTCCGGAAGGCAGGAATCATGATGGTCCATTACATCCAGAGCAGTGGTGGTCTTGGGCAGGCGACCCAAAAATTCTATTTCTTTTTTTTGCAGTTTTTAATATTTAATTAGGAAGTACCTCTATCATAAAATTTAGCAGGACAACGCAATTGAAAAAACTAAATTGGTGAATTTGTCCGGAAAAAAGATCGTCTGGAAACCCTCTTTCAAAATAGTACCAAAAAATGAAATAATAGTGCAAGATGAATCAATCGGAGCAAACGTGTTAAAGAACTGTAAAATAACTGAAAATTTCCTACAACGACATACAAAACAACTGACATTTAGATTTGTCCTAATATCGTAACTTATAAATGCGATGAATTTATTCTGAAGGAGCCCTCTATTTTGCTGAGTTTGATAGAAATCATTATTCACTTAATTACTATTATGTATTTTCTCAAACACTTCATTAAATTGCTTCATAATGAATGGACGATATAGCATTGGGCTTGTCTTTTCCAATTGCGAATTTTTGCAATTTATGATCAAATTTGTAAGCTTCGTTTTAAGCTTTTTTTAAGCTTTAATTGTAGTCTTCAAGCTTCGGTTGGTGAGGCTGGCCATGATAATGAAATGATTGTTCGGCAATTATTTTTTTGTACCCTAAATCTACAAACTGGGTCATGTGCACTATATCTGCTAACTTGAAATTTAATATTTGTTGTAAGTGGCGTAATTTATGAAATTTAGAAATTATTCTGTATAATTTTAGAAATGCAAATTTTACTGAGGCGAAAATTCTCCATAAACGAAACGTAATTGTTAAGCTAATAATGCAGAAATATCTAAGGAAGAAATTTAGAAATAAATGCTCCAGCATGCGAATATATTTTCGAGTAGGTCTTCGTTCAAGCGTCTCCAGCAACGTGGCATTGAGGTTTGATTTTTGCTTGATTTTACTGTATATCCCCAAATTGCAGTGTAACAAAATTATAACTTGCCATTGCTCCTAAAATAAAATGAAATTTAAAATTTTTTCCCAACAATAACCATTTTCGAAGGCTTGGAAACGTTTTCCATCAACTGCACCGACCAGTGAACTCATACGTCACTTCGAATGCCATGAAAATGTCAATAGTGGTTTGGTTTATTCATCAGTCATTTTTTTCAATCACGAGTTGACTGAGTTAATCCGAGTTCACGAGTTATCCGTTAGAAAAAAAAACATATACAGGGTGTTTCAGAATTAAGTAACCCTTTTAATTTGTTAATAAATAAAAAACTAAGAACGTTATGAAGTTGAAACTTGTTTTATTTAAAAGAAGAACATTTTCATGGTAATATTGTATCATAGTTACGTCATTATTGTATAGCTTGCTAAATTTGTGTTTAATTATCAAGCCTTAAATTTTCATCATGATTCGCTACAGCAAAGAAGAAAGAACAAAAATTATCGCTACAGTCAATAACGATGTCAATAACAGAAGTTCAACGTGATTACAGGATCCATTTCAAAACAAGGATACTTCAAAAAACACATTTAAAAACGTTCTTAGTTTTTTATTTATTAACAAATTAAAAGGGTTACTTAATTCTGAAACACCCTGTATATATGAGATTCGTGTTATTCGAATAATTTCAAAATGTATACAAAAAATTGTTCGAAATAATTGTTTCCGATTCCAGAATTACTGGCGACAGCAGCTACAAAGAAATTTACTTCCCAAGTGCCGATGTGACTTTTAAGTACAAAGCCTTCTGGCTGTTCAACAAACGCTCATTTTCAGTCTTCTTTGAGGTCTACTCCAATGACTGCTACAAGGTACGTATGGCTTGATCAAAATATATATTTTTTGTATTCTAAGACTGTTTCAATACTTGAAAGACATGACATTATCTTTTTAGCGCATTTTCTCATTTATGGAAAAAATGCACTATTGTGCTCGCCATGTCCGTCCGTCCGTCTATCTGTCTGTCCGTCCGTCTGTCCGTGACCTCAAGTTTTCGTCGACGAGAAAATGCGCTCTCTGTCACTCACTGCAGTGGGTACTGAGTTATATTTTTTTTGTATTTTTAGCGACTAAAAGTCATCTGAAACAGAGCAGAGGTAGCATGTCTTTACTGGAAATTGCTACACTTTAATTTGCGCGTGTTTGTATGTGCATGAACTACTTTTGTATTGGAAACTAAGGGAGGCGGGATGATAAGTCACACCATGGGTTACTTATTCAAGACACTTAAGCTAATATAGTTAGTTCCGTGACCATCACTGGCTCGTTGACTCGCCAGGACCATTCTTAGAGGTGATATATTACACAATGCCCTGAAAATTCAGGTTCTCGAGGTACTCATTTCTCAACCAGAATTTGATGAATGACCGAGTTATTAGTAGCTGAGCATCTAGAAAAATTTGTCTTTAAGCAGGACTCGAACCGGTTAGTGGGCTCTAAATAAGACATTATCTCTCATTACTGCACTACGTAGCTCCGTGGTGCTGAGGAAACTACAACGCGCTCTCTAAATGTTGGTGTTCACAAATTCTAGTCGTCTTCGTTCCTAATAAATGCTAAATTAAAATATGAGTGTTAAAGATTCCGTCAAAATATTTTTAATTTAGAAATTAGGTGCTGACAACTTTATCATTTTTTTATATTTCACCAGATCATAAATTTGCAAAAGGGAAGTGTTGGTAAGCTGACGCTGCCTGGTGACTTCGGCGCGCGCCCCTTTTGCGAGTGGTGGTTGAGGGTACGTAGATCGACATCCGTTTTATTCTCCATAAGCGTCAACTAATAAAGTCGTGTTGACAAAGCTGCACTCATCTTCAGATCCTCAGATTTTCATTGATATGTTGTAATTTATTTGTTCTTCGGTTTATTTGGATAGTATGCAAAGGCACCCCGAGAGGTTGTAAATTAAAGACCCCCGAACGGTTGCACAAGACGTCCGGAGAGGTTGCCTAAGATTTTTCATCAGGTCTTCACTTTCCCTTCACAGTGACAACTAACGGCTAGAATTGATTGTTTTGGTCAGTTCATCCTTTCCCCATGGACGGATATGACGGTATATAGCAAATCCAACTCGTTGTATACTCATCAGCAAAAGGGCCAGTAAGACGTAAAGGGAGCCTCGAGAACAAGCTCTGAACGCTCCAACACGTCCTCTAAATTTTAAATTTAAATAGATCCAGAAAATTGCAGGGGTAAATTGCTAATCTATTTTATTTTTTTTGGAGAGGTTGTTTGCGAGTTCGTACGTTTATCTGCGAGAAGCCTGGCTCCGTGGGGAATATCGAGGTTATTTGAGAGCTAAGCCACGATTCATATTCTGTATTGATACAACGTTGAAAACTGATACAATCTCAGGGAATTTATATCCCAAACAATACCGTGTTCGCGTTCTGAAGTAGATTACCCAGGAATTTCTTTAATTTTAGTCGCTTATTTCAATATTTTTCCTCAGGCACCAAAAGGAATGAAAGTCGAAGTTTATGTTGAGGAATTCTCTGCCGGCAATAAGGACTGCAACAAAGCCTACGCCCTCATCAATTCCAATGGTTCAAGCTATGACAGTTCCAACACTCGCCGACTGTGCGGAACAGAAACCATCAGAAATACATCGGTACTCAACGAAATGAACGTTCTTTTTAACGGCAAATACAGCGCCCGACCTCGGTTCACTGCTTCCTACAAGGTGCTTTGAGGAGCTGATTCAAAACAACCTCTATTATATCAGAGCTAAAATAAATATATTGTCCGTAATCAGAACGTTAGAAGAATTTTAAAAAGAATTTCAACGAAACTTACATTGGACACTGAAAAAACCTTCAATTACTTGCTAAGAGGAATAATTCGAGGGTTTGCTTATGGCTTGCTTAGTGATTTGCTTAGTGGTACAGCGCTTAATTTCCTGAAGCTTCAGCAAAGAATAAATTGCTTACTGAAAATTTATCGTGAGTTTTATTATGATGTAAATCCCCAGATGCCATTTTTGGGACGAGAGGGGATGTCATTTTTGGACCAGATGTCATTTCTTGGACGAGAGAGGATGTCATTTTTTGGACAGATGCCAATTTTTGGACGAGAGGGGATGTCATTTTTTTGGACCAGATGCCATTTTTTGGACGAGAGGGGATGTCATTTTTTGGACAGATGCCATTTTTTCAACGACTCTTCGTTCGTCCTCTCTGTAACTTTGAGCAACAAGAACCCAAATAGGTTGAGCCCTCGTCGAACCTGCATATCGGCTGTTCTGTGGCAGTTAATTGATTCAGTAGAAAGTAAAAAACTAGAAAATACTTGCCAATTCAAAATTCAGATATAGTGATTGCTCTAATAGTTTGATGAGAGATTTATATCTGTGAATTTAAGCTTGCAATCGAAAATTCAATTTTTAGGTCCGTTTTTTTAATTCTTCGAGGAAGCGTTAATAATTTATTAAACTCATATCTTGATGGCATGCCCTGCATGCCAAGTTCCATTCGTCAGGAATTTGTTCGTGTGGCTGTACCAACTGTTCAGTGTTCATACAATTGACAGTTGACACCTCATCCCCCGTTTCCACGCAAAGTTCCTTGCTGGGGGTTGATTTTAAATTGAATTTTGGTCGTGATAGTTATTATGGTTTCATATTAATATGAAATCTATCAACGTGAAGATCGGAAAGCAATTGAGCCCAGTTATGTATGTGTCATGCATGGTTACGCAAATGAAAGTTATACAAGTGGAGGACCGCTATCTCATTGACGACGATGGCGACATAATAGGTAGCGCACTAATTACTTTTTTATTTTTGAGAATAATACTTTTTGTTGAACATTGTTTAGAACGTAGATCAAAGGAAAATGAGTAAATTACCTAAGTTATGAGTTCCATCTAAAGTTTGGGTGTTGAGAGGCTGTTGAAATGTGGATTGAAACTCTGTAGGTAGTGTGTGTGAGACGCGGCTGTTCTCAAGAACGAGAGTTGTTTACACTGAACGTAGGCAAACCTATTGACACAATCGTGTGGCTCAACGGGAGTAAAATAAAAGGTCCAGTAGATTTTTCTCCGCTTTATTTCATAGGGGTGACGTGAGATACTGCACAAAAGGGTTAAGATTAGGTACTGGCCTGGGAACGGGTCTCTAGACCATGATTATAGTTATAATTAACAACAATAGAGACCGATTGAAATAAGCTGATCTGGGAATTTGTGAAGCATCGTCATCGACATCGGTAGGGTTATTCGAATACACGAGCGGTGGCTGTTAAACGTCGACATTTTGAAATGTGCAAGAAGATCCTTTTTAATTTCTCGTGGTCTGTGCACTAAGAGTTACAAGGTACTAGCTAGCTACGTTGCTATGTCCTAGCTTATGTTAGAATAATGATGGAAGCGTGCTGCGTTACAGCACTAGAGTATTAATCACAGCATGTAGACAATTTCAGGTGTCGGCTGGACCTGTGACTAAGGGGAATACATCGTTAAGATCAGCAATACTGTTTGGTCCGCTTACTATTAACTTTAGGCAGGGGGAGGCGATGTGACGTATTCGGACGATCTTGTCAGACGATCTTTACCACGTGCCCTGTCTCGCCTAGGTTTCTGCAAGGTATCAGTTAAGGTAAGCGCATAGATCTAGGATCGTGTTGACAAAGCTGCACTCATCTTCAGATCCTCAGATTTTCATTGATATGTTGTAATTTATTTGTTCTTCGGTTTATTTGGATAGTATGCAATGGCCCCCGAGAGGTTGCAAATTAAAGACCCCCCGAACGGTTGCACAAGACTTCCGGAGAGGTTGCCTAAGATTTTTCGTCGGGTTTTCCATTTTCCCTTCACGGTGACAACAAACGGCTAGAATTGATTTTTTGGTCAGTTCTTCCTTTCCCCATGGTTGGATATGACGGTATATAGCAAATCCAACTCGTTATATACTCAACAGCAAAAGGGCAGGTAAGACGCAAAGGGGGCCTCGAGAACAAGCTCTGAACGCTCCAACACGTCCTCTAAATTTTAAATTTGAATTGATCCAGATAATTGCAGGGTTAAAATGCTAATCTATTTTATTGTTTAGAGAGATTGTTTGAGAGTTCGTACGTTTATCTGCTAGAAGCCTGCAGGCTCTGTGGGGAATATCGAGGTTATTTGCGAGCTAAGCACTATTCATGTTATGTACTGATACAACGTGGAAAACTGATACAATCTCAGGAAATATCTATCCCAAACAACACTGGGTTCGCGTTCTGATGTTGGTTACCCAGGAATTTCTTTAATTTTAGTCGCTTATTTCAATATTTTTCCTCAGGCACCAAAAGGAATGAAAGTCGAAGTGTATGTTGAGCAATTCTATGCCGGCAATAAGGACTGCAACAAAGCCTACGCCCTCATCAATTCCAATGGTTCAAGCTATGACAGTTCCAACACTCGCCGACTGTGCGGAACAGAAACCATCAGGAATACATCGGTACTCAACGAAATGAACGTTCTTTTTAACGGCAAATACAGCGCCCGACCTCGGTTCACTGCTTCCTACAAGGTGCTTTGAGGAGCTGATTCAAAACAGCCTCTATTATTTCAGAGCCAAAATAAATATATTACCCGTGATCAGAACGTTTGAAGAATTTTATAAAGAATTTCAACGAAACTTTGACTGAAAAAATCTTCCATTGCTTGCTAAGAGGTATAATTCGAGGGTTTGCTTATGGCTTGCTTAGTGATATGCTTAGTGGTACAGCGCTATGGCTTGCTTAGTGATATACAGCGCTTAATTTCCTGAAGCTTTAGCAAAGAATAAATTTGCTTACTGAAAACTTATCGTGAGTTTTATTGTGATGAAAATCCCCAGATGCCATTTTTGGGACGAGAGGGAATGTCATTTTTTGGACCAGATGCCATTTTTTCGACGACTCTTCGTTCGTCCTCTCTGTAACTTTGAACAACAAGAACCCAAATCGGTTGAGCCCTCGTCGAACCTGCCATATCGGCTGTTCTGTGGCAGTTAATTGATTCAGTAGAAAAGTAAAAAAAAAACTAAAAAATAATTGCCAATTCAAAATTCAGATATAGTGAATGCTCCAATAGTTTGACGAGAGATCTATATCTGTGAATGTAACCTTACAATCGAAAATTAAATTTTGAGGTCAGTTTTTTTTAATTCTTCAATGAAATGTTCATAACTTATTAAACTCATATCTTGATGACCTGCCCTGCATGCCAAGTCTCATTCGTCAAGAACTTGTTCGTATGGCTGTACCAACTATTCGGTGTTCATACAATTATTGACACCTCATACCCCTTCTCCACGTCATGTTCCTAGTTGGGGGTTGATTTTAAATTGAATTTGGTCGTGATAGTTATTATGGTTTCATATTAATATGAAATCTATCAACGTGAAGATCGGAAAGCAATTGAGCCCAGTTATGTATGTGTCATGCTGCTCATGCATGATTACGCAAATGAAAAACAAGGACTGTCATCTCATCGATGACGATGGCGGCATAATAGGTAGCGCAGTCACTTATTTAATTTTGAGAATAATAATTTTTATTGGACATTGTTTGGAACGTAGATCAAAGGCAAATGAGTAAATAAGCTAAGTTATTAGTTTTTTTAAAGTTAGGGTGTTGAGAGGCTGTTTAAATGTAGATTGAAACTCTGTAGGTAGTGTGTGTGAGACGCGGCTGTTCTCGAGAACGAGAGTTGGGCGTAAGCAAACCTATCACGAGGGAAATTCCATCACTTGAGGAATTCGACGTCACTTCGAGGGTAGGCATAAGTGTGCGTGGTGGCGAGACGTATAGAAGGAACGTAAGTTCGCGCCCGAAGGATTATTGATTCTTCTGAAGTCTCGGTCAGGAAAGCAGGGCCTGCAGCTCTGCGGGCGTCGTGACGGCCACGGCCGCGAGGTCGACTGCTTCGCCAGTTTCCGAATTTCAACGGTCGCCAGAAACTTAGACTCATCAATACAGCTACTTGCCTTAACGACAAGTGACGACAATGATGTGACGAGAACACTCACGACAAGTGACTCACGACACGTGACGAACACGAGAAGCTATCTGACCTGAGACGATTAATCGGCAATTGTATTATTAAACTTAAGTCAGGAGTACGGTCGGATACAACAGCAACAGCAGTACGGCCACGAGCCGACAGCAACGTAACCAGAATGTAAAGCAACACAGCCAATTCGAAATACAGCCGTTGACAATTTACGGCCATGCTGTACTTGAGATATCTTTCAACACTGCAGCAACTGAACTACAACAGCGGGACGGCTACTCGCAACAATACGGCCGTCATTATAACAGAAGGCCTTCGTGATCAATACGGTCACAGCATAGCAACCATACCGCTCCACGGGATCGCACTACGGATCAACGTGCCATGGACGCTACAGGGTCTCCTAACATCAGATCCCGCCCTGTCATGGACGCGAAAAGGTCTGCTAACATCAGCACACGCCCCCACCATGTCGCCACGCGGTCTTGTTATGCAGGGCAAAATATTAATTATAATTTATAAAATATATACGGGATAAGCTTTTATTCGATCAGCAATACGAGATAGATTTCTAACGAAGTATAGATTATATCTTTGCAAGTTCCGAGTGCTTAAATGATCCGTCCAACAGTTATATGATTAGCGTGATTGCAATGGGGAAAGTTGAAAGACATTCACGGAAATTTTTTTCATTTTCAATTTATTTCAATTGAAGAACTTTCATAGATGAGTTTTCGAAGAAGAAAAATATTTCAATCTATAAATAAAATAATTACTTTAGGCTATGAATCATTATTATTCGTCAGTAATAAGAAAAGTGCTATTTCAAAACGAACATAAAATCGGAAAACAATTGTGTTGTTGCAAACACAGACAGGCGGAATGTAGCACTCGACTCTTACTTCCCAATGAGTTCGCCATTGAATTATCACGTGCATTTATGAACGCATTCATACAATGGTTATTTCATGACCAATCATATGATGAGATTGCAACAAATAAATTACTCATTGAAGGAAATAACACGTTGGTTATTAGATGATTGTATCATCGCCTTTTTAAACCAAACATACGAAGCATTGAATAACAGCAAAGTTTTCTTTCACAAAAGAAAAGTAAACGAGCGAACAAAATTGAATCGACGAATCGGAATCCGTAACTTGGGTTGGTCAGGGTCGCCTGACGCGCCTCAGGGTCGCCTGACGCGCCTCAGGGTCGCCCAACGCGCCTCAGGGTCGCCCAACGCGCCTCAGGGGCGCCCAACGCGCCTCAGGGTCGCTTGACGCGCCTCAGGGTCGCTTGACGCGCCTCAGGGTCGCTTGACGCGCCTCAGGGGCGCCCGACGCGTCTCAGGGGCGCCCGACGCGCCTCAGGGTCGAGCGCTGGGTGCCGCGCTCAGTAGCCTCGGCGCGACGTCGTTCAGTTCCACTGCACGCAGAACAACTAATTAGTGAACTTAACTCAGTGGAATACGCTAATCAATGCACTAGCCAAGTGCTATGAGCTGGCCTAGTGATAGCGTTAGTTTAACTATTGAGCGAGCCCAGTCATTACTCCACCAAATATATATCATTAACTGAATAATCCCCTTATATTAACTCCAATTATAGAGCTACACGGATCTACCTCACATTACTACTGTCATGCCCTGAATTAATCTCACCCTCGACACAAATGTTACCCGAGACCAGGGTTGGTGATTTTTTTGATTTTTTTTTAATCAAAAAAAAACAAATAAAATAAAAAATCAATGATTTTTTTATTTTTTTCATGATTTATTTGATTTTTTTTATTTTTTTCAGCTTTTTTGTCTTTTTGAAGTGTTATTTTTATGTTGCAATTAGCCTACTAACAATAACAGTATATGGATCATAATGGATGGCTAAAAAGGGCACTTATTGCCTTCAATAATGACCAACAGGCCAAGGTGGTGTTTACCACTTAGGGAATTTTGGGTAAACAATTATGGGTAAGTCGATTCATTAGCTTTGTAAAGTTTGTATGGAGTAATGTAATGAGCTAAATATTGACCATTTGACTGGCTTCAATACACAAAAACACTTCAGGAATGCAGATCTTCTAAACATTGTAGTCACATAACAGATAGGTAGCTGATAGCACAGTGCACAACACTATCAATAGATCTACTAGTTTTATGTCCTATAAATCTACCAGACTCTACCCTCTATACACACCGACTAGTAGTGACTGTAGCTGATAGCACAGTGCACAACACTATCAATAGATCTACTAGTTTTATGTCCTATAAATCTACCAGACTCTACCCTCTATATACACTGATTAGTAGTGACTGAGTGACTGACTGCACTGTTCCCATTTAATTCAGACCAATAAACCAATGCTAAACATAAACTGAACGATAACCAAACAAACCTCAAACAACTTGAAAAGAGACTTAAGTTAAGAAAAAAGCTAACATTGTATGAAATAAACATGTGCACAATTCAAATATTTTATATCCATTCACTGCATTTTTTTTATATTTAGTCTTATAATTGTAATTGTTTTGTTTCTAGTTTTAAATTAAAATATATAAAGATTGAAATAAAATAGATTAATTAGAATACTCGTATTAGGGTGGAAAATCTTTCTAATTGCCTAAAAGGTCAGTACAATCTCAACCTCTCAATATACAGGGTGGGGCAGAACCGATTGAGCAGTTTTGAGGTAAAATAAAAGAGTAAAGGAGGTGCATGAAGAAGAAAGTTTATTTTCCTAAAGGTTAGCATAACATACCATTTAGAATATTTATATTTTGAAAAACAATATCTGGAAGATGGGGGCCGTTAGCTGCAACACACTGTTGGAGTCGTTCTCAGAGGACGGAGTAACCGTAACAGTGAATTCCGATCGCTATGCTGCAATGTTGCAAAATTTCTTGCAGCCCATGATGGAAAACATTGTTGAAAATGAAACATTGGGAGACGTGTGATTCCAGCAGGATGGGGCTACAGCTCACACAGCCCGAATGTCACTCAATGTTTTGAAATGCATGTTCCCAGACACTGAGGGGTGATTTACACTGGCCTGTGAGGTCACATGATTTGAGCAGGAGCATTTGCAATTTCTTTCTTTGGGGACATCTAAAAGAGAAGTTCAAAAGTCGCCCTCACACTCTACCACAGTTAAGGGGATGGATTATTGCAGCAGAGGTTATGGCCATACCTCGCCATATGTGTGAACGTGCTGTAGAAAAATTCCAAGAATGACTCCAACAGTGTGATGCAGCTAACAAACCTCATCTTCCTGATATTGTTTTCAAAACAGTATTTTAAATGCTATGTTATGCTAATCTTGAGGAAAATAAACTTTCTTCTTTATGTACCTCCATTACTCTTTTATTTTGCTTCAAAACTGTTCAATCAGTTCTGCCCCACCATGTATAAGCTAGATAACACATTTAAATTGCATATTGTTATCAATATATAACAAATAGTCAAATAGTTAAAGACTTCTTATAGCCTTATAAGAATTAGCTAAGCTGCTAGCTATGTACAATGTATTGCACACTTGATGCCTCTGTACCAAAAAAATTCAATTTATTGGAACCAAATACACACTAAAGGCAACAAGTTTATATACCAATTTGTCATTCATAGTACATTTATACTAAACCATGAATAACAATACCTCAATATAAATTAAAGACTGCCACTCATTATATTTAAATATACGAAAAAATCAACTAAATTGAAAAATAAATAAATCATGAATGTTTTATAAAAAAATCGAGTGATTTAATCACATGATTCAATCATTTTGATTTAATCATTGCCAACCCTGCCCAAGACCCTAATTATAGAGCTACACTGATCTACCTCACATTACTAATGTCATGCCCTGAACTAATCTCACCCTCAACACTAATGTTACCCAAGACCCTAATTATAGAGCTACACGGATCTACCTCACATTACTAATGTCATGCCCTGAACTAATCTCACCCTCAACACTAATGTTACCCAAGACCCTAATTATAGAGCTACACGGATCTACCTCACATTACTAATGTCATGCCCTGAACTAATCTCACCCTCGACACTAATGTTACCCAAGACCACAATTATAGAGCTACACGGATCTACCTCACATAACTAATGTCATGCCCTGAACTAATCTCACCCTCAACACTAATGTTACCCAAGACCACAATTATAGAGCTACACGGATCTACCTCACATAACTAATGTCATGCCCTGAACAAATCTCACCCTCGACACTAATGTAAGACGACCTTCTGGCCCCAGGACACGCACCTTGCAGGGTGGAGCAGTGCGAGGCGGTGAGGGCGTTGATGACGCGGCACCACTGCAGCCCTGGTCCTTCAGGCGTCCCTGCCACGGCCTCCTCCAGCTCCTGTACCTATGGGGTAGAAACAGAAGAAGAAAAAAAATGCAGGAAGTAACATAATTTGCAGACGTTATCTTAACCAGAGTTATTACCCTGAGAAATGGACGACATGCTGCCGAGCAAGATCTGATACTTCGGACTGAGTACCCGGACAACTAACCTTCAAACACAGCTGTGAAAAGCTACAGCCGCACAGTAATAGTTGAAGTCGACTTATTCTCGTTATTTAACGAATAGAAGCGAGAATATTAGAGCACAAGGCGAGAGGGACTCTTCTCTGAAGAGCGTCGTTGCAAATACCTAGTGCCACTCTATCAGACGCCTCAATATTGAACTAAATTTTTCATACATCGAGGGATGATAGTCCATGTATAGAAGGATGACGTACATGCAAGTAAAAGATTATGAAGAATTGCGTAAATGTAGGTAAATAAAAAAATATAACTCAGTACTCACTGCATTGAATGACAGAGAGCGCATTTTCTCGTCGACGAAAACTTGAGGTCACGGACGGACGGACGGACAGACAGACAGACAGACGGACATGGCGAGCACATTAGTGCATTTTTTCTATAAATGAGAAAGTGCGCTAAAAACGCTGATTTCGAGGAAAGACTGACCAGCACAGGACTCAGCAGGTCTTCAGGAAGGCTGGTGTGCAGGTTGGTCTTGACGATGAGATCAGAGCAGGCTGCCGCCGCGGCCTGCAGGCCTCTGCTCAGCTCGCCGGCATCCGTCTCCGTGAACATCGCTCCAGACCTGCACACCAATAATAACACATGGCGCCATAGCAAGGAGGCCGTGTTTAAACAATATATACTATTTTCGTTTGAATACATCACTTTTTAGATTCTTTGGACCCTTATAACTTCTATTCATTGTACACAATTTCGTCAGTAACAACGACCTACCCTAACCAAAAAGTTTATCACGAATCATTTCATTTTGGCAAACAAAAAGACAGACCGAAGCTACATATTCCTCAAATAAATTCTGTATAACCAACACCCTGGCATTAGAGTACGCACGAGGCAAGCGCGTGGACCGCAGCGTGGGTGACGGGGTCGGCGTGGGGGACCCGCACTACCCCCTGGGGGAAGGGCGGAGCGAGACCCACGAAGTTCCCCCGGGGAAGCTCACACGTCAGCTGCGTCAGGAACTCCCACACGCGCGTCATCTTAACCCCACACTCTTCCTGCCACCTGCACCAAAGTTGCCTTTTAGTTATTTTGCACGATAATTTATTGCCACCTGCTACTGGAGACTTGCCGGTTACTTTATATATGATGCCTGATTGCAACCTACCACACGAAGGGTTGACAGTTGGTGAATAGGCGCTGTTTCATGATCTACCATCTAAAATTATTCTAGGCTAGCAAAAATATCTTCAAGTGCCACGAACTTGACGCTGCGCCACCTCCCTGTGAAAATCGCTCTAAGAAACACCATTCGACCCATGGAGCTCACTACCATTGTACTCCTTGATAACATTGCTACCATTACCACAATGACATTGCTACCATTGGTCCCATTGATGTTATTAGGACACGAGGCCTATAAACCATGAGGACATAGGAGTATAGGACCAATAAACCGTAGGAGCGTTGAGATATTACGATTATACAATTAGCGTAAACAATGCCGCTACTGAGAGCGTTCTCCGTGACTAGAGAGACGCTTGGCACTGACCTAGGGGGGAGGGTGTACGCGGGGATGGGCGAGGTGCAGTTGTTGTGGGTGCAGCACTGGAGGGGGCGGGCAGTGCACAACAGGAGGGAAGAGAGGGAGCAGACGATATACCAGACGACACCTTCCCCCAAGTCGGCAGCGCTCGCTTTCGCCCTGATGGCCGCCACCGCCCCATCGTCCATATCTCCCGTCCATTCGACCGTCAATGGCTTGGCGGACGAGAACCTGGAGCCTTTCTTGAGGTAGGGCTTGGGGCTCACAAAGACCACGTGGCTGATGGTGGAGTGTAGCTCGTACTGGCCCGGGACTGGGCCCACGGACGCCCTCGGATCTTCCTGGTCCAAAGGACGCGGCCAGATTGTGGGCAGGCCCGTGGCTGCCGCTGCCACGAAGTGCCGCATCGCCACCTGCCACTCGGACTCGAAGATGGCAGGGGATGAGGCGAGGGATGCAATAGGGGTAACGGAGGGGGCGGGCACCAGGGATGAGGAGGGATGAGGAGCGACTCTGACGTTGCTGAAGCCTCTGATGTTGCTGAGCGAAGCAGAGGCTCGGTGCAGGCGCATCGCCTGCCGCTGCAAGGCAAAGTAGCAGTCGGACACTGCGGTGCTGACCGCGGGGGGGACTGCGGTGCTGACCATGACCACTGGCGTGCTGACCGCGGTGATGCAGTTGGTCAGCAGCTCGGGGAGCTGCAACCCCTCCTTCTCCTCCTCCAGCAGTTGTAGGGGTAGCAGAGGAGCCACCAGGACCAGGTGAGTGGGCGGTAGCTGTACACGTAGCTGAGCTTGCAGCTGCACCAGGCCAGCAAGCAGCTACACAAATAATTCACAATGAGAAGAATTGATTTCATACAAACATTAACCCTAGTATTAATGCTTATGACTATTATGACGATTTAAGTTCTGACGACTGAAAATCTGCCTACTAGAATGCTCGCAACTACAACGCTGATAAGAATACTGAGACAGGCTGGCGGGAGCACCTGTTGCGTGCTGACGGTGGGTGGGGCAGTGAGGTGGCGGGTGGGGGCGATGACGTCCCTGCCGCCCACCAACACCCACACAGCAGAGGCGCCGCCCAGGGCGTCTAATCCAGCCTTCAGCACCAGTGTCCCACACGGCGGAGAGAGCAGCGATGGCACGGTGACCAAGTGAACCTGGTGATTAGGGGGTGTTAGAGGAAAGCACTTGGGCAGTAGGGGGTATATGCCTGGGAAATACGGGGGTTAAAAGAGACCCCTGAGGAATAAGAGGGTTAAAGGACTTAGTCCCACGCCTCGCAGCCTCAGAAACTCACTGGCCTCACGCCTCACCTTATCAATGAAGGCTCCCAGCCCTGCTCTGAGGCTGGGGCGGTGGATGTCGTCAGACACGATCACGACACGCAGTTCAGGGTGGCGCTTCCTCCTGCACACGCGCCTTCACATCATACTTTTGCTAATTTAGCAATATATTTTAAATGTATATGAATGGTTTTCTAATGTATTTTTTACTTAATGAATTTCCTGAATTTACAACCATACATTTTTAAGACGGCTAGGTTTCTTGATCAATAATACAAGGTGACATTTTAGTTATTGTCTTGGTGCGGCAATAATGTTTGATGGAACCACACGACAATTATATTAATGAACCTGATAATAACATCAATGAAATTTATAATATTATTCATAATATCAATTAATAAACCAAATATTAATAATAAACAACAATACTATTAACATACAGTAACACACGTCAACAAACAAGACCAAACACAACACACAACAGTTCTCAACATACCTGCAGTACATGGGCCAGTCTAGCTGCTGGTTGAGCAGAGCGCGATGTACAGGCACTCCCAGTAACTGGTTAAGCTGCTTCCTGCAACACAGTATACAGTGACTGTATGCAGCATACAGCGATGTACAGGCACTCCCAGTAACTGGTTAAGCTGCTTCCTGCAACACAGTATACAGTGACTGCATGCAGCATACAGCGATGTACAGACGCCCAGTAACTGACATACGGTACTGAATGTGTGTTAGTCATTATCAGTGCAATAAGAACGAACTGGTGGGTTAGTGCATTTTATAAGGAATATTTATTTCAGATGCCTTCGTTCTTTATTTTGCAGTGATAATTTTACCTGGCAATATTATTTACTTTTTCCTCACCAAAGAGTAAGTTTTAACACCGTCTGGATGGAAAAATATTAATAGTCTACAAATAATTCCACCCTCCATCAAATACAAGCATTATCCCCTCAACTGCAGCCCCGTCTCAAATATCCACACAAAAAATACCCCGTCAGAGTCAAAAATATTTTCGTGGGTACAATTGACATGACTCTGTGGAATTTTGCATGCACCTGCAGCGCTTTTATTGACGCAGGCCAGGAAATTCATAGAACTTTGATAAACTAAGGAACTAGATAGCATAATTCAACACAGAATATTATCGATCTGATTGTTCGATGAGCAATTAGTGCTAGGCTTTGCAAAGTAATAGACATTCTCGCCAAGCCTGAGACGGTCAAAGGAAACTCAGAAAAATATATGAATGGGTCATACTATACAGATTGTGACACACGATATATTTGGATGAAATAAATCTCATTTCTCTGGGCGTAAGAACCAGACATCGGAAGAGGCGATAAGGTGAGTATTGCAATTGCTTATTGAAAGGATGTGTGCGTCATCTGTGGAGAAAATAATGCAAGAAATCACCAGAAATGGGGAGAGTATCACCTATGGTAGGGAGGATCACACCTATGGTAGGGAGAATGTCATCAATGGTAGGGAGAGTGTCACCTATGGCAGGGAAAATGTCACCTATGTTAGGGGGAATGTTACCTATGGTAGGGAGAATGTCACCTATGGTAGGAAATATGTTACCTGTGGTAGGGAGAATGTCACCTATGGTAGGAACCTATGGTAGGGAGAGTGTCACCTATGGTAGGGAGAATGTCACCTATGGTAGGGAGAATGTCACCTATGGTAGGGAGAATGTTACCTATGGTAGGGAGAGTGTCACCTGTGGTAGTGAGAGTGTCACCTACGGTAGGGAGAATGTTACCTATGGTAGGGAGAGTGCAAGTGGAAGCGCAGCCCCGGCATGTCGAGCTGGGTGGGGGTTTTGTTCCCCCCGGGGGAGCACAGTAGACAAATGAACCCCCTCGTGTCCCCCTCTCCACCCCCCGCCCCCGACGTGGTCTTGATCACCTTGAAGGCGATGAGGCAGGACAGGTAATCTGCACACACACGTTGTAACGTCAACACACGCTGCGTCAACCAGAAATTTAAAAGTAAAGAATACACCATACAAATAAAACAAAGCTTTATAGAAAACGATTCGTAGTCCACCTCCATCAGTTAGTGAACAACTGCATTGCCACGCAATTTTCAATAAACCAAGTATTTTAGGTCGCCAGGATAATTTTGGACTTGCATCTTCGGCTTCAGTACCATCACAGTACTAAAAATTAGTGATACTTGGTACATATAGCGATGCACTTTTAGCGCTTATGTCTGCAATCCTGATCCATTATGCCTTGGCAAAAACGAGTATCAGTGCAATGATCGTTTCATTTTTAGATTGTCGACCTGATGATGGAGCCGGACTAAGAAACGTTTTCAATATCGATATGCCGAATTTGCTCGGCGTTTTCTTTGTTTTAAATTCCTTGTAAACTTGCGATGTAAGCAGACTGATAACATAAAAGGTATGTGTCAAAATTGTGTCACTATTTGGACACACTATCCAAACTAATGACGTTAATCAACGTTACTTCAACGTCAGATGCCTGATGGGAACATGACCTGGCACTTGCATCACAGTCCCATTCATTTTTCTGAGTGTGCGTGGCAGAGAGGGAATGAAAATTATCACCTTTTTTGATGGGCACGAAGACTTTGGGCGCTGCAGTTCCGGTCAGCACCGACTTCTTGTTGTTCTTTCCTGCAGTTTTGTTGTTGTCTTCGTTATTATCGTCGGCCAGGCTGCCTGTGTTCTTCGTGTCTTTGTTGTCGTTGTTCTTGTTGCGCAGGAAGCGGCGGACGGCGTGGACGTGGCGGCGGGTGTAGGCGTGGGCGTCTGCCGCCACCGCCGCCCCCACCGTTGCCCCACCGCATGCCACGCACGTGTACTCCTCCTGCTGAGGAAGACGGGGTTTGTGAGGGGGAAGACGGGAGGTAACAGCCGTTTGAAGTGGATGACAGCTCCAGAAAATAATTAGTGTTATTCCCACTACACGACGCCTCAATGACTAGTTTCTGCGTGACTTCCCTCCGCTCTCTTCCTCGCCGCGGCAGGCAACTCACCATTGCATTGAAAAGGGACACACGAATCGCTTCGCGAATTTCAAGGATACACCCTCAACACAGCCGACATCGGCGCATTGCAAGGATACAGTCCCAACACAGCCGACATCGGCGCATTGCAAGGATACAGTCCCAACACAGCCGACATCGGCGCATTGCAAGGATACAGTCCCAACACAGCCGACATCGGCCAATTGCAAGGATACAGTCCCAACACAGCCGACATCGGCCAATTGCAAGGATACAGTCCCAACACAGACATCGGCCAATTGCAAGGATACAGTCCCAACACAGCCGACATCGGCCAATTGCAAGGATACAGTCCCAACACAGCCGACATCGGCCAATTGCAAGGATACAGTCCCAACACAGACATCGGCCAATTGCAAGGATACAGTCCCAACACAACCGACATCGGCACATTGCAAGGATACAGTCCCAACACAGACATCGGCCAATTGCAAGGATACAGCCCCAACACAGCCGACATCGGCGCATTGCAAGGATACAGCCCCAACACAGCCGACATCGGCCAATTGCAAGGATACAGCCCCAACACAGCCGACATCGGCGTTGCAGGCAGAGATTGAAATAATCAAGAATAATTGATAAATACCGGTAGTAGAATTTATCAATTAATATTGCGATAAAACAAGAAATCAAGATCTAGTTATAGAGGAAGTTGATTAATGCTATACAGCTGACCTGACCACTGCAGCTGTACACGGAGTAGACGCAGGTGGCAACCGCCTGCGTGATGACGTCAGGCAGGTCCTCCCTGGACACCTCCTCCACCTCCACGCCCCCCCACGGCACTAGCGCCCCCTGAAATAAGCATATATTCCTCATAACATTCACTCGTATTCACTTGAATGTTAACTCCCACCAAGAGCTAACCGTTCATCACCTCAGCCATCCATAACCTCAGCCCTTCATCACCTCAGGCCTTCATCACCTCAGCCATTCATCACCTCAGCCATTCATCACCTCAGCCCTTCATCACCTCAGCCATTCATCACCTCAGCCCTTCATCACCTCAGCCCTTCATCACCTCAGGCCTTCATCACCTCAGCCATTCATCACCTCAGCCTTCATCACCTCAGCCCTTCATCACCTCAGGCCTTCATCACCTCAGCCATTCATCACCTCAGCCCTTCATCANGTAACTTACCGTTCAGGATGGTGCACATGTAACCCCAGCAGTAACTTACCGTTCAGGATGGTGCACATGTAACCCCAGCAGTAACTTACCGTTCAGGATGGTGCACATGTAACCCCAGCAGTAACTTACCGTTCAGGATGGTGCACATGTAACCCCAGCAGTAACTTACCGTTCAGGATGGTGCACATGTAACCCCAGCAGTAACTTACCGTTCAGGATGGTGCACATGTAACCCCAGCAGTAACTTACCGTTCAGGATGGTGCACATGTAACCCCAGCAGTAACTTACCGTTCAGGATGGTGCACATGCTGTCTCTTATACACATCTAGATGTGTATAAGAGACAGATGCTATACAGCTGACCTGACCACTGCAGCTGTACACGGAGTAGACGCAGGTGGCAACCGCCTGCGTGATGACGTCAGGCAGGTCCTCCCTGGACACCTCCTCCACCTCCACGCCCCCCCACGGCACTAGCGCCCCCTGAAATAAGCATATATTCCTCATAACATTCACTCGTATTCACTTGAATGTTAACTCCCACCAAGAGCTAACCGTTCATCACCTCAGCCATCCATAACCTCAGCCCTTCATCACCTCAGGCCTTCATCACTTCAGCCCTTCATCACCTCAGCCCTTCATCACCTCAGCCATCCATCACCCCAGCCCTTCATCACCCCAGCCCTTCATCACCACATCCACTACTCACCTTGCGCCTAATCAAGGACTGCACTGCCCCAATAGCAGCACTCAGGGCGCGGGTGTGGCTGAGGTGGACGACAGCACGGGACTCCCCCAGCAGCTCCATATCCCCTAAGGGAGCCAGGTCCACAATGCCCATATTTTCCTCTTCCACCTCACCCGTCAGGAATGTCTTCCCTTTCAAAAGGCCCTCTTCCTTAGAAAGGTCTTCCCTCTTCACTGACTTAATGTTCCCCAGAAGGGTAGCCGCCACGTCCTCCTGGCTGGGTCCCCGTGTGGGGGAGAAAGTCTCCTCCAGGTGACGCAGTTGCTGGGGGCTGAGATCCCCAGATTTTTCCACTAACGGAGTAGATCCTGCCTTGACCGTCTCTAGAAATAAAAAAAATCTCTGTTAGCGACCCAAATCATTACGGGTTTATGAACTTTGAGCATAATCATACAGTTTCATTATAGGGGAAAGGGTTACTTTAGCTACCGGTACCATTCACCGTGCAGGAGGAGGTACAATGTAGCTCCAGCAGTAACTTACCGTGCAGGATGGTGCACATGTAACCCCAGCAGTAACTTACCGTGCAGGATCTGTCTCTTATACACATCTAGATGTGTATAAGAGACAGGTACTCACTGCATTGAATGACAGAGAGCGCATTTTCTCGTCGACGAAAACTTGAGGTCACGGACGGACAGACGGACAGACAGACAGACAGGCGGACATGGCGAGCACAATAGTGCATTTTTTCCATAAATGAGAAAATGNCAGCAACTCACCGTGCAGCAGAGGGCACGTGTAGCCCCAGCAGCAACTCACCGTGCAGCAGAGGGCACGTGTAGCCCCAGCAGCAACTCACCGTGCAGCAGAGGGCACGTGTAGCCCCCCAGCAGCAACTCACCGTGCAGCAGAGGGCACGTGTAGCCCCCCAGCAGCCACGTGTTGCACGCGAAGGCGTTGTAGAGGCTCACGGACACCGCGGCCACCGAAGCTAAGCTTGCCGCGGCCGACGCGTTCATCTGTAACGTCAAATATAAACACTTAGATCTCATCTTATTTTCAATTATTCACTTACTTTAACTCTCTAACATTGATGCCCTTGATGCCCATGTCATAACATATGAATAGTTTAGTATTCATAAAAATATTATTCAATTTCTCCCAAAGCCATCACTTTCGCATGATTATTATCGAAGTGCTTCACGTTAGGCATCGCAAATTTAATCAATGCAATAAAGTTTTCATGCACAATCAGAAAAGAGAGTGAAGCTCGTGGTGGAAAGCAGAAGAATAGGCCAAACGCGGCACGGCAACTCGCAGGTTGGTCTCCGTGAAGAAAAGGCGCTAAGCCGGAAGGATATGGCCCTTGACAGCTTCAATATAGATATGAATAAGAATATATCGTTAGAATGGAATGATACTGACGACGTTGGTGAGGACTTGGGCGACCTTATCTCCCGTCAGGTGGAGGGGGGCGAGGGGAGCGAACACCACCTCGCTGTTGTGGCTCTGTGCCTTCACGCCACTCCTGTGGGGGAGGAAAGTTACCGTGTGACTCAGAGTACCGTGTGACTGCAACGCAAGGAACACGAGTTACCGTGTACAACGTTTAACGTGATCATAATTCAGGGACATGAGAATTTTGGCATGTGTTCCGGACAAGATGGGACAAAGTATTAGATTATCCCAGGGAGCTGTATGGAAGAAGGCTGTGATGGGATGACCTGGAAGTTATTATTATTATTCTACAAAGCATCTATAGTGGCGACTGGTTCAAACGAACATCGAGGGCATGCCACACATAACATTAATTGCTAGCGAAAAATAAATAAACACATGAAAGGATGACAACGGATAAAATGACAAAGCACTTGATTCATAGGCTCTACGATATGGCTCCGTTTTTAGGCGTTGACGAAACACCTGAAACGAAGGAGCGCAAGTAACGGAAGCCGGCAGACTGTTCCATGTTCTGGCGGCGGCGACCGGGAACGCTGTCGCAGACGGAATATAGACATGTAGTTGGTACGACGAGGTCCTCTGTTGACGACGAGCGCAATCATCTTCTAGAAGGCAGATCTGACACGCGCTGCAGACATTCCATGAGATTAGGAGGCGCCAGACTATGAAGGCATCGGAACGTCAGAACAGCGACCTTGAACTGCGTGCGCTGCTGAATAAGCAGCCAGTGAAGATCAGACAATATCAGCGTCACACGGTCGAATTTTTGCTTATTGCACAGAGTCAAGCAGCAGCTTTCATTACGGATTGCAGTTTATCAAGTGCCGTGGTTGGAAGTCCATAAAGTATGGCATTACTATAGTCTAATCTGGTCAGAACGAGCGCCATCACGAGGGCGGAGCACTACCACCAACTGCGAACGCAGCATGACGAACTCGTTGCCCATGCGAACAGTGTTGGCCAGAAGCTGATGCTGGCGCCGAGCAGTCGCGAACCAAATAAAGTCGTTTTTTCTGCATTGAGCTAAAGCCGGTTGGAGCGCATCCAGTCTGAGATGGCGTCCATGCAGACAGACAGTCGATCTTGCAACCCTGCGGCATTAGCCGGTGCACAGTAGCTTTGGGTGTTGTCACTAAACACATGCGGATTCAAACTATGTGAATCGATTATATGCAATACGTCGACGGTATATAAAGGGAAAAGGCTAGAGCCGAGAACTGATCCCTGTGTTATGCAGCAAGTGACCAACGATGGCATAAAAGAAGAGTTCCCGCGTCGAACGCATTGGAATCTATTGCTGAGATAGAACCCGAACCACAGCAGCACTGTGCCTGGCAGGCCGAATAAATACGTCAAGTCGACGCAACAAAGTGGAGTGGTCGGCCGTGTCAAATGCGGCCGACAGGTTGAGTAAAACTAGTGCCGCAATGTCGCCACGGTCTACTGAGCGCAGAATGAATGAACGCACCTTCAGCACAGCGGTTTCCGCCGAGTGGAGATGATGGTATGCAGACTGGAGACGAGGCATGAGACCGGACTGCTGAAGATGGTTGTTCAGCTGTCGGGCCACAACGCGTACCAGGAGTTGTGGTCGACAGGTTAGTGATGGGTCGATATGATTTGGGATTGGAAGCATCAAGGTCTGGTTTTTCTAAAAGAGGCGCAATGTAAGCTGATTTGAAGTTCATCGGAATAACACCATCAGTGAGGCAGCGGTTGAAATGTTCGGAAAGAAAAGGTGCTAGGGTTACAACATTCTCCTTAAGTGATGATGTCGGCAGCTGGCACACTGCTTGCTAGGCAACGCGCGCACTGCAGCGATGACGTCGTCAGCTGTGACGCGAGTGAATTCTTGGAGCACGCAGTTGATCAGGAACGGCGCAAATGATGCCGGCGGAGCATCGGCCGACGACGCTCGCAAAGCAGAAATTTTGTCTTCAAAAACAGCATGGAATTCCTCCACGCTTACGTCACCCCAAGCCTCTGTCTGAAATTTCCCTACGAGCTTATCCAGCAAACGCCATAGCGCTCGAGGATCGCTGCGTTGCGCGTTGGCTCTCTGGCGCCAAAATGACTCTCTTTCAGAACAAAGATCGACATAATTGCGCCGCGCATCTCACCAAGTGGAGGTCACAGCATGAGCAGCAGCAGGACTGCTGCGTCTGTTCACCCGGTATACAGCCGGGCAAACAGACGCTTCAAGACTTGACATTCATCGTCGAAGTTGTTTTGTTCAATGTGAGCCATAAAAGTCCTTAATTCGGGGACCATGACATGATCACAAGGAAACAATAGTGTCATGAATAAATGTTATAAGATTGTAAAGTTGCAATGATTTTGGGCTTGCATGAAGTTAATCACGTGGGTTATATGCCAGGGAGGGGAGACAGGAGAGTGGCTGAGAGTGAGTACTTGAGGTTGAGCACCTGAAGGTGGGCGCTCGAGAGTGAGGGCTTGAAGTTGAGTACCTAAGGGTGGGTGCCAAGAGTGAGCGCCTGCTGTTGGGTGCCTAGCTGAAGGTGAGCGCCAGCTGGAGGGTACCTGATGGTGAGGGCGCCGTGCACGAGGTGCCGAAGTAGCAGGCGCAGCAGAGGCAGGTCCCCGTCAGGAGCGTTGTCCAGCGACCCAGCAGGGAACTTGGGAGCTCTGGCGAGCAGCGCCTGGTCTGCTGACGACACAGACCCGTGGTCTGCTACCACCTGTGGGGGAGGCAGTCGTTACTTGGGGGGGGGGGTGTGATGAGAGACGGTAACGGTGCAGGGGTTATTGGGGGCGGGATGGCGGACGCTATAGACAAGGTATAAATTTAACACTAATTCTCACCTCCTTCAGGACCTGCATGCAGGATCGCACTTTCTTCTTGCGCGATGTCGGCGGAGTGACGGTCGGTCGCTCCTCCCCCCGACCCTGCGGGGCGCCTGCCTCCCCAACCTGCAGCGCAGAGAGCTGTTAGTGACAGATTACATGGCCATGAAATTGACAACATTTTTATTCATCATTGGCGGTGAATAACTTTTGTGTCAATTTTCTGAAGCAGAGTGATAATTCCTCGTCAAATTGAGCGCTAAATGAATATTGTTCACATAAAAGTGGATAAGTTGCAGTGGATATTCCTCAGAGAGCAGAGTCCCTCAGCAGCAAATCATCACTTGAACGTCGCAGCAATGTAGCGAGCAACGCTAGCAATAGGTATCCTTGTCCCTAAATAAGCAGCCGTCAACACTTATTATGATCATAATGGCCAGAACTTCCATGGCGCCCATATAAGCACATTTATCCAAGCAAGTTTCACGGTGAAACTCCTGATTAAATATCATGGCACGGTTAAACCGGAGTAACTTTAGAGCAACAAGAAGACCAGATAAGAAACTTACTGCAACAGGAAAAAAGTGGTTCGTTAGTAGGGCTTATTTCCAAGGTAAACTTGAGGCGGATCATATTGAAGCTTCCTGACAGTAAAATAACTCATTCGATGTGATTTTAACTGCCTTAGAAGTCTGTAAATATTTACTGTCGGCATATTCCCGAGTGTGATAGATGAGTCATGAGGACACACCTTTAGGGCATCCCGGGGCGCGACGAGGGCGTGGATCCCAGCGAAGACCCAGGCTAAAGAGGGCGCAACCACAAAGAGGTTGTTGTCCTCCTGCAGGAGGGGGAGCTGCATCAGGAGCTCCAGAGCCTTGTGGGGGGTGGCAATATGGTCCCTCACCACGTGGGGTACAACGGGCACTCGGTGGGGAACGGTAGCCGCAACTTTGGGAGTAGAGCCTTCAGCACCCCCAGCAGTCTGTTGGTTATGACAAACACCGTCACTGCTTCGGTGTAGGAGCATGAACGTTGATTTCAACACGTAACACTTACATTTATCTAGTTATTTTGTAGGAGATGAGGTATTCATTGACCTGCACACTTACAACAATAATATCAGATTAGCAACATCATAACTCGCATCATTGCATAGCTCGTCACATCATGGCACCATTGCAATGTCACCATAACATACCATCACTACAGCATTACACAGCAACATCATCACCACGTGAACACAACATTACCACAATCTCAATATGAGCTCACTTCGCTGTCACTGAGAGCGAGGGCAGCGAGATCTGTCTCGAGCTGGGCGAGGGGCGAGGTCTCGCTGTCTCCACACGACCTGCCGAGGAGGGCGACGGTGGACGCCTCGTCTACCACGAGGACGACCCTGGACGGCTGGACGCCGTCAGGAAACACGCCGCGGGGGCGGGGCGATGACAAGCCCTTGGCCTCTCGCCCTTTGGGCGGCGCAATGCGCGTCGCCATAAGCCGTCCCGTCTGAGGTAAGTAAGACATTATTACTTGATTACACCTGCAATTAGTATAATATTGATACTGTATTACACCTGCAATTAGTATAATATTGATACTGTATTACACCTGCGATTAGTATAATATTGATACTGTATTACACCTGCATATAGCACAATATTGTTACTGTATTACACCTGTAAATAGTACAATCTTGTTACTCTATTGCACCTGCGATTAGTACAATATTGATACTGTATTACACCTGCATATAGTACAATATTGTTACTGTATTACACAAGTCTGCGATTAGTATAATATTACTTTCTTACTCCCATCATCAAAATATAAAACATGAATGCTTATCACGTCAGTATAATATCAATGAACTCTTATCACTGAAACGAGAGAACCAGTTAACAATTTGAATATGAAGAAGTTCTCATGCATAGATTCCGCATGGCCGATCTACGCCAGAGAGTAATAAGGGGTCACTGTGTATCAAATCATGAGCTGGGGTTGCGCTGCTAAAAGTTGAGTCAGCCAAACACCGATGGCTTTACAAGCTTAATCCACAAACCACAGACGAGGAATTGCTACGTGTACTAGGGCCGCTACATCATCAGCTGAAGGCATCAGCTTGCCCAACTCAGGGCATCAGCTTGCTCAACTTAAGGCATCAGCTTTCCCAGCTGAGGGCAATTGCACAGTAGTAAAGCTCCAAGCATGGCCTTACAACAGCAGATGGTACACTAAGGTGACGCATTAGCGGGGTATATTACTGCTCAGTCCAATACAATTACCATAAGGCAGGGTTCGGATTGCAGGACAAAATTTAACTTCAAACACGGTCTTGGGACCTTTCCAAGTTTTGGGTGAGGTGAGAAATACGGTAATGGAGAGGGTAAAGCAAGTTTAGCCGAGAACTCCTTACCTGGATCGGTGCCCCCCGCATTCGGATGGGGTTGCTGGTCCGCCCTCGAGTCACAACCCTGGGACCCACTGCAGGGCCAGCACGGCGAGGTGGGGGCACAGGAGCAAGGAGAGCAGGCGTGTAGTTCTGAATGGAGGGCTTGTGTGTGACGTACACAACCACTTTGCCCTTGACCTGTACAGGTACATGACATTGCACATGCATGACATGTGAGATACCGTAAAATGGGGTAACTTAGACCGGCGAGATAACTTAGACCACTTTTCGTTTTTTCAACAAAAACCCCCACAACTCAAAAACTATTTGACATAGAAAAATTTTGTCAATGGGCATTAAAGGCCTAATACTGAGGCTACATAACACAATAGAAAGATTTGAAAAGTTTGCATATCTAATAGGTTAAAAAATTAAAAATGTGACCCACAAAAAAAAAGCTACCTATTATTTGAAGCCTGTCAGAGTACCCCCTCCAAATTTTTTATTTTTTGGTTAAATAACTCCAGGTTTTGATGCATTGTAGTAGAACTCTTCTAGTTACATATGCAAATGACAAATTTTAGGAAAGTGTCATAGTTAAAGTTACCCCAAGAGCTGGGGTAACAAAGACCATCACTTTTTTTAAAATTACATAAAGACTATGAGAGGCAGGAGCCAGCAATTTATGGTGAGTGAAGCTAAAGTATAGACCTGTATTTTGCATGTTTCAATTCAAGTTTAATTCAGCTAGTAAAAAAATGGCATCATTTATAAAAAAAGTGTTCTAAGTTACCCCATTTTACGGTAAGCAAGACAACTTTGTCCTATACCTACAAACCTACGTACATGCCCAACTCGCCCCACACAGGGGGAAATGCACTCCCAGAGGCTGAGGGTTGGAATTCCATAAATAGGAATTCCTATTTACGAAGAGGCCAGCCATTGCTGGAACTTCACTCATGGGTAGGTAACTAATCAGAGGCAGGAACTGAGCCCAAACCAGAGGCAGAGACTGAGCCCCAACCAGAGGCAGGGACTGAGCTCCAACCAGAGGCAGGGGCTGAGCCCCAACCAGAGGCAGGGGCTGAGCCCCAACCAGAGGCAGGGGCTGATCCCAACCAGAGGCAGGAGTATAGCCCCAACCAGAGGCAGGGGCTGTGGTCTCTGACACCCACCATGATGGGGCTGAGGCGCTCAACGCAGGCACGCAGCAGCTCTAGGCTGGGGAAGACCAGGGCCAAGTTGTGTTCGTCCAGCCTGGGGGAGAGGGGGACATTTGTTTCATTTGTACGTCACATGACGACAGGTGGGCGTTTCACACATATTGTCCAGTGTATTGTATGCTAATTGCTTGTATGCTTGCACAGTATGCAATTCAAACTGACGTACGTACTGTATATAATGATATTGTCTCAGGCCACAATGTTAAGGCTGGATCAAATGTTAGCATACCGTTCAGCTCACAATGAATGAATACCACAATAACAATCCTGTCAAAAAGTATACCTTTTGATATCTTCAATATCCTGTACTAATTGTATTTTCAAACTCAGGCCTGAAGTAACAAATGATAATACATCATGCTATAGAGAGACACAACATTAATTTGTAATAGGTACCCAGGGTTGGCGATTTTTTTGATTTTTAAAAAAAAAATCAAAAAAAATCAAAAATCAATGATTTTTTTTATTTTTTCATAATTTCTTGATTTATTTGATTCTTTTGATTTTTTCAGTTTTTTTGTCTTTTTGAGGTGTTATTTTTTATGTTGCAATTAGCCTACTAACAATAACAGTATATGGATCATAATGGATGGCTAAAAAGGGCACTTATTGCCTTCAATAATGCCAACAGGCCAAGGTGGTGTTTACCACTTAGGGATTTTTGGGTAAACAATTATTGATAAGTCTATTCATTAGCTTTGTAAAGTTTGTATGGAGCAAGGTAATGAGCTAAATATTGACCATTTAACTGGCTTCAATACACAAAAACACTTCAGGAATGCAGATCTTCTAAACATTGAAAGTCACATAACAGATAGGTAGCTGATAGCACAGTGCACAGCACTATCAATAGATCTACTAGTTTTATGTCCTATAAATCTACCAGACTCTACCCTCTATACACACCGACTAGTAGTGACTGAGTGACTGACTGCACTGTTCCCATTCAATTCAGACCAATAAACCAATACTAAACATAAACTGAACAATAACCAAACAAACCTCATACGACTTGCAACGAGACTTAAGTTATGAGAAAATCTAACACTGTTTGAAATAAACATGTGCACAATTAAAATATTTTATATCCATTCACTGCATTTAATTATTTTATATATAGTATTGTAATTGTTTTGTTTCTAGTTTTAAATTCACATATATAAAGATTGAATTTAAATATTTTAATTAGAATACGTCCTCATATTAGGGTGGAAAATCTTTCTAATTGCCTAAAAGGTCAATACAATCTCAACCTCTCAATATACAGGGTATTTGAGGTAAAATAAAAGAGTAATGGAGGTACATAAATAAGAAAGTTTATTTTCCTAGAGGTTAGCATAACATACCATTTAGAATACTTATGTTTTGAAAACAATATCTGGAAGATGGGGGCTGTTAGCTGCAACACACTGTTGGAGTGAGTAACCATGACAGTGAATTCCGATTGCTATGCTGCAAAATTTCTTGCAGCCCAGGATGGAAAACATTGTTGAAAATGAAACATTGGGAGACGTGTGGTTCCAACAGGATGGGGCTACAGCTCACACAGCCCGAATGTCACTCAATGTTTTGAAACGTATGTTTCCCGGACGTCTGGTGTCTCTGAGGGATGATTTAACAGTGGCCTGCAAGGTCACCTGATTTGAGCATTTGCTATTTCTTTCTTTGGGGACATCTAGAAGAAAAGGGTTCAGAAGTCGCCCTCACACCCTACCACAGCTAAGGAAATGGATTGTTGCAGCAGAGCCTCAGAGGTTATGGCCATATCTCGCCATATGTGTGAACGTGCTGTAGGAAACTTCCGAGAACAACTCCAACAGTGTGATGCTGCTAACAAACCCCATCTTCTTGATATTGTTTTCAAAACATAAGTATTTTAAATGGTATGTTATGCTAATCTTGAGGAAAATAAACTTTTTTCTTTGTGTAGGTACCTCCATTACTCTTATATTTTGCCTCAAAACTGTTCAATCAGTACTGTCCCACCCTGTATAAGCTAGCTAACACATTTAAATTGTATATTGTAATCGATATATAACAAATAGTCAAATAGTAGACTACTTATAGCCTTATAAGAATTAGCTAAGCTGCTAGCTACGTACAATGTATTGCACTCTTGATGCCTCTGTACCAAAAACATTCCATTTGTTGGAACCTAATACACCCTAAAGGCAACAATTTATATACCAATTTGTCATTTACATTTATACTAAACATGAATAACAATACCTCAATATAAATTAAAGACTGCCACTCAATATTTTTAAGTATATGAATAAATCAAAAAAATCGAAAAAATCAAAAAAATCATGATTTTTTTTTACAAAAAAAATCAAGTGATTTAATAACATGATTTAATCATTTTGATTTAATCATTGCCAACCCTGTAGGTACCACTACAATACCTCATAGTCATGTAGACAAAAGTATTAAAATTGAACTTTTATCCTAGGACTTTTTTATTTGCACGCACAACTTGGCATTTCACAGTCAGCACAACAAATGCAGCCTCTCTGCCACGCAGGCAAGGTGTCATCACGAGCAACACAAGCTGAGTCATACAATTAATAATATACATTTAAAAATTATTTTTCAAAGACAACACTTCTAAAGAATTCAGTGTCTCCAATGTTAAAGATGTACAATGAATGTCTCATTTTATTTTTGAATAAAAAAATTAATTTTTAAATTTTTTAATATATAACTTTTTTCAAAATTGTTTATTCTGTCAATTGATTCGTGCATTGCCTCCGACTTCACACAAGTGTGCAAAATTTCAGATCAATTGGACAGATAAAAGTGTGTCAAATATCAATTATAAGATTTGTAGCTGACAAAATTATTTTCTTAATTTTTAAATATTGGAAAAAAAATTTTATTCTGAAAATTATTTATTTTGTCATTTGATTCATGAATTGTCTCCAACTTTATGCAAGTGTGCAAAATTTCAGATCGATAGGATAAGTAGAAGTGTATTAAATTTCGATTACAAGATTTGTAGCAGACAGACAGACAAACAAGAAGTGAAGTTAGAGAGAAATGTTGTAAAAAGAACGCCAATACTACCCCAAAAGCCCCATTCCAGAGTGCAGAGGCACCCCTCACCCCAGCACCACGGCTGCCCCCAAATGAAGTAAGCCACCCCACACCTTGAGTGCAGAACCACGTCTGGCCCTCGGTGCAGCAGGCGAGTGCGCACCAGATGGTTCAGGTACGTGATCACAAACAGGCCAGATTTGCCCTCCTTCAGGTTGTGGATGCCAAGGTACCCCAACACCCCCTGCGGCAGGAGGAGTTTAGTGGGTCACATGACCTCGTCTTAAAGAGATTTTTATCATAAGAAGTGTGCAGTACAGAGAGAAGTGTGCGGTATTGGGTGTGCGGCGCAGAGAGGAAATTTAGGTATTCACTGCGATAGATTTGTGCATTGTTTTTTAAAGAGAATTTAGGTCTGCACCAATGACAGGATTTTTCATCCACCAAGGGACGCTCACCCCCATTGTAGCACCAAAGGCAGGCTGCAGAGAAGGCTCCTGCCAGGCATTCCTACTGGAGTCGAAAGCATAGGGGCCTGGAGCATCATTCCTGCAAATGAATCAAATGACAATAAAGTATGCTGAAGAGAAGTGCTATCAAAAAAATATAAGATAATTATTGAGTATTTTTATTTGAATTGCATGACTTTCTGCATGAATGAAACTAAAATCTAAATTAATGAAATAATGTTATGATAAAAAAGGCATCATAGTTAGATGTTAGAAAACGTTCAAGCAAGAAATACTCACCCCCAGGCAATTGGAGAGTTCCTGACACGAGCATCAGCCTGTGCCCAGAAGCCTCTTGGCTGAGAGGACCTGTAACCACCTCCCATGAGGGGGGAGCAGCTGTCACCAGCTGGTGCCTGGTGAGAGCGGCTGAAGAAATCACCAGCACTGGCTCTGTACATGCCATTACTGTTGTCAGAGCGGCCATGAGTGTCAAAACGACTTTTGCTTTCAAAGCGCACATTGCCATCAAAGCAGCCACTATTGTTGAAGCGACCACTGCCATCAAAGCAACCATTGCCATCAAAGCGGGCATTGCTATCAAAGCGACTGCTGCCATTGAAGCGACTGCTACCATCAAAGCGACTATTGCTGTCATAGCAACTGTTGCCATCAAAGCGGTTACTATCAAAACGGCTGTTTCCATCAAACCGGCTGTTGTTATCAAAACAGCCATTGCTGCCCGAGACGTTGCCACCAAAACGACTGTTGCCATTGTAGCGGTTGTTGCCGTGTGGAGCACTGTATAGAAATGTCAGTCAATCATCTGGTCAAAGTGAAAATATTTTTTTGGTATAAAAATTTATCCATACCAGCAATTTTTTCAAAGATAATTTTCAAACAAGGTATAAGCAATACTATTTAATAAATGTTAAAGTGGCTGTAGATAAATCAGCTTCACCCACCTACGGCTGTTGCTGTTACTGCCACTGCTGTAGGTGCTGAGCATGAGGCTGTTAGGGCTGTCAAATGTCCGGTCTATAAAAGAGCGGCTGTTGAAGTGGGCGTCATTACTGCCACCGCCATTGAAGCGGCTGCCAAGAAGGGAGTTGCTAGCCAGGCCATCAGGGCTGATGAAGCCTCCCTGAGCATTGACACGGCGGCGACTGCTGTTGTGGCCGTTCATGTCTGCACAAAATCACTGTATCAAACAAATATCCTGAAGCAATAGTATTTCTTTAGTATATCTAATCTTAAGAACCTGCAAAACACATTGAATGCCTTCAAAAATCAAATGTGTCCTTATCAGATAAATATAAGTCAAGATACTGCTAAGTCACTATATATAAATACATAGTTATGACCCCTCCTTAGGAGCTAAATAAATTGGTTATCAAGGCATGAGATAACTTCAGAAATTGTCTTAGAAAATTTATTATTGGCTATTATAGGCTCAAGAAGTTCCAGCTCGTGTATATGCAAAAAGCAAAAGAGCATAAAAAAGTGAATTTAGTACAGTTTGTTCATTTCCAGTATTTTGTTCTTGACAAGGTTGCCATTAAGACCATAAATTTGTATTTACATTTCTCAACCCTATCAGATTCAGTTGAAAAGCACTAAATCAAACCTAGAAAAACTGGCCTAACTTTGTGAGATCTTGTACATAGTTGTCATGTCTCTACTACAGGAGCTACTGAAGAAAGTATTGGCAGCTTTGGAGCAATGCTGTGCCAAGAGACAAGAGCATTTGAAGTACATGTGCAGATTGATTGGTCAATGCTTCTCAACAAGATTAAAATTTGTAATACAAATAAATTATACCAACATTATTATTGGCAACATATATATATATATATATATATATATATATATAAGGATTCTCATATCTTCATCTTATTGCATGACATTATGAATCCTATATGAATTTTTTTAATTAGTTTAAAAGAGAGACTTGAATGACCTTGCTCATAATTTAGGTATAAACATGTACTAGTGCCCAAAAAAGAAGTAATCAAAAATATCATTAAAAATAATGTGTGGGTTACTTTTATACAACACAGCTCTTTAACTTCACTGCTTGTTGCTTGTCTGTGACAGTCTGTCTGCTAGGCTACTCCTACTCTGCTTTACTCTGCTACAAATCTTATACTCAATAATATTTAACTTATTTCCACCACCACCAGACTCTACCTGTTCAATCTGAAATTTTGCACACTTGCATAAAGTTAGAGACAATGCATGAATCAATTGACATAGCCTAATAAGTAATTTTGAAAATTTGAAATTTTTTATATATAAAAAATAAATTTTTTTACTATTTGAAAATAAAATTTGGAATTCATCGTACATGTGTAACACTAACATCAGAGCCACTGGATTCTTTAGAAGTTTTGTTCTAGATATAAATTTTTAAATGCATAGGTAGGAAAAACACCGTAGGATTTTATTATTATTATTTGTATTTTCATTTATACACTATTTTCTAGGTCAATTTTTATTCATTATTCAAATTGTACCTACTAATAAAATAGGGAAATCACAAGTTGAACTGGAAAACTAAGCAAATTTCAAGTCATATGATATAATGATAGAAGCAGGCTGGAAGTGTCAAGTAGCAAGGTACCTAAAAATGCTAATAATTTATAATAGAAGATGCCTAATTACTAATTAGGCTAGTTAGGCTAACTGTTTCCAGTGGATCAGTAGTTTAGTTATAGACTTTATAGTCAAGTAAGTCAACTGATCAATAAAATGGCAGAGAATTTAACTGCTGTCTTGTGTCTTCGAAAGACTAGGTACGGAGTACTCATTTATTTGATAACCGTCATCTAATATTCTAATATCTACCTATGTACGTAAACGTAGTAGCCTAACATAACCTACGCAGGTAGTCTAGCCTTCTACTTTGCTAGGTAGGTACCTACTGCATGTCGTGGCAGTTGGCACTTGTCGATTAGCGTTTGCCAACTGCCATTGATTGATATTCCCTAAAAAACCCTCATTCTCGAAAAATTTTATTATGTTATACCTTAAAAGTACCGTAGAATTGACCTCAAGTCAATAACGTCAAGACGAGGAGATTATTTTTCAATCCCTCAATTAACGCCGAGCTTGCCGGTAGAACGCTGTCAGACACCCACCTATTGTTGTAGCCAGCTGCGCATGCCTGTCTGAAATAGCATATTAACATGGAAATTTTCAAATGATCATGCCGGTAGTGATCTAAGTGACGAAGATTATATTTTCAACGTGTTTTCTTAAGATGAACTGGATATGTAAGTTTATCACAACTAATTGTCGAAACTAGAAAATTCATAGTAGATGGTTTCATATCATGGTATTATTTAGGTTGAGTTGGTTATAGTAGCCGCACATATTGCTGACTGCTAGACCGTCATCACGCGTGATGACTTTCAAATTCAATCCGTCGACATCATCGCTATCGCAATAATCGACCATCGACTCCTTCAGTTGACAGAACAATGTGTACGCCGGGTGCCAGCGTATAAAACCGTTACCTGTCTACCGTGATGCGGTCTCGACGGCGACGTCTTCCACGAAAACTGCAGTCGTCCCGACATGTCAGCCTGACTCATGGTTTGGGACTTTCAGTCAACGACCTATTGCATCTCTGCAGCACTCAGGTCGAAGTGCTCCTTTGTTGCAGGTGCACTCGATGACCTCTTCCATGCACGCACACTTCGGATACCACAACGAGCCTCCGACCCATTTTTCGATGACGAATGTCGGGTCTCGAAGCAGGAGATTCGACTGCTACAAAGGGCTGTCCAGCGGGTGAGCAGACGCGGCAATCATGCTGCTGCAGTTACTATTACATCCAGATAGCGAGATGTGCGGCGCAATTATGTCGACCTTTTTCGATCCAAAATAGAGTCATTTCGGCGCCAGGGAGTCGACGCGCAATCCTGCGATCCTCTAGTGCTGTAAAAACGCTGGAAAAACTTATGGGGAGAGGTCATACAGATGCTTCGGGTGACAAAAACGTGGAGGAATTCCACGCAATGTTTGAAAAAATATTTTCTGTGCGAGCGTCATCAGCCAATGCTCCATTAGTAATATTTGCGCCGTGCCTGCTCGACTGAGTGCTCGAAGAATTCACTTACGTCACAGCTGACGATGTCAATCATGTCATCGCTGCAGTGCACGCGCTGCCTAACAAGCAGTGTGCCAGTGATTCTATTTGACACCGTTACTTCATTAATCCTCTACCGCCTGACATGAGTAACTTGAGCAATATTGTCACGCGCCTACTTCCCAAAAAGAATACTTTGATAGAGAGCGCAAAATGACTTGCACTGATGGTTGCTGCCACGAACGACAACTTCAAACGTTCTTTTGCGTACAAACGTCCTCAGGTTGCTACTCTCAATAGTTTATGTATTATTTGCGTTAAAATTTATGTTCCCGGAAAGTGACATACGGCTGTAGGGGGCTGTAGGAGACTGTCGTAACGCTAGCACATTTTCTGGTCGAACGTTTCAACAGGTGCCATCTGACGGTATTGTTACAGAGAACTTCAAATTAGCTTACAATACGCCTCTACTGAAAACCCGGAACTTCATGCTTCTTATCCAATATAATATCGACCCATCTCCAACCATTTGCGTCTGAAGAAATTCCTTTTACACGTTGGGGCCAGAAAGCAGACTATTCATCTTCAGCTGTCCGGTCTCATGGCTCGCCTCCAGTCTGCATACCATCATCTCTACTCGACGGAAATCGCTGTACGGAAGGTGCTTTCAGATATTTTGCGTGCCGCGGCGACATTGCGGCATGGCTGCTAAACCGCGGTGTTGTAGGGTAGAATTAAACATTTCTGTATTGTGTATTAAGCTGTCACACGCTAGCCTTACATCAAATAATGATTATGGAAATTTGTCTTTATTATTAAATTTCCCTGTTTAATAAAATTCGGGTTTGTCTTTATGTTTGGTTAGCGGAGTTCCCGCTAACTGACGAGGTGTCTTCAGTCAGCAGCGGGTTGACTAAAGCGCTAGTTTTTTTGGAGAGATTTGCCCGCGTACGGAGCTCTGAAGCATGTTACGCTGCTCTTGCCACGAAATGATTTACGTAGAACTTGCAACTCAGTAACTCCGTCTGATTAGAATAAATGCTTCTTACAGTGATCTGTGCCACGTTTACCCTGAACCACCGGAAAGAACAACCCGACTACTGCAGCATTGCGTCACTGGCTTTACTCGACTTTTCGAACGCGTCTGACACTGTCGACCTCAGGCCACTGTATTTCGTCTACTTGACGGATCAGTCGGCCTGCGCAGCGCAGTGCTGCGGTGGTACGAGTCCTATCTTAGCAATAGATTCCAATGCGTTCGACGCGGAAACTCTTCTTATACGCCATTGTTGGTTACTTGCGGCATACCGCAGGTATCAGCCCTCGGCCAGATCCTCTTCCTGTTACATACTTTGACGTGTTGTACATAATTGATTCACATTGTTTCAATCCGCATATGTTCGCAGACGATACCCAAATTCATGCTTACTGTGCGCCGGCTGATGCTCAGACTGGATGCGCTTCAACCGGCTTCAGTTCAATGCATCAAAAACCGAGTTTACTTGGTTTGCAACTGCTCGGCGCCAGCATCAGCTTCCGGTCAACTTTGTTCGAGTGGGCAACATGTTTGTCATGCCTGAGTCATCGGCTCGCAACCTGCGCAATTTGCTGGACTCAGAACTTTCTATGAACAATCGCATTGCCAAAGTCAGCCCCCTTGTTTCGGCACTCTCTGACGAATACCTGGCGTCAGCCGCTCACTCTGGAGGCCGGTCCTGGAGGCTCTCGTGGTGGCGCTCGTTCTGACCAGATTGGACTATGGTTATGCCACACTTTATGGACTTTCGACCACAGTACTTCATAAAATGCAATCCGTTATGAACGCTGCCGATTTTGCGCGATCTTTACCGGCTGAGCATGCAGCAGCGCACGTAGTTCAAAGTCGGTGTTCTGACGTTCCAATGCCTTCACGGTCTGGCGCCTCCCTATCTCACGTAATATCTGCAGCGCGTGTCGAACTTGTCTTCTAGAAGACGACTGCGTTCGTCATCAACGGCGGACCTCGTCGTCCTATTTACACGTCTATCTACTTTCGGCTACAGAGCGTTCCCGGTTGCCGCCGCCAGAACCTGAAAATGTCTGATGGCTTCCGTAACATCGGCTCCTTCGTTGCAGTTGTTTCGTCGACGCCTTAAGACGGAACTATTCAGTAGAGCCTATGAATCTAGGGCTTAGTCATTTTTTTCTTACATTTATATTTAACTTCATTTCATGTTGTTTGTCTGTCTGCTACAAATTTTATAGTCGATATTTGAAACACTTTTACCTCTCCAATCGATCTGAAATGTTGCACAGTTGCATGAAGTTGGAGACAATGCATGAATCAATTGATAGAATTGCCAAATAAGTGGTCAATCAGTGGTAATCAATTAATTGTTTTGTATGAACAGAATCCATCGAAATTTAAAAATAAAATAAATTCATTGTACATGTGTAACATCGGAGACACCGGCCTCTTTAACAGTGTTGTCTTTAAAAAACACTTTTCGAACAAATATTTTTTATCCGTTCTCATCCCTCCCGCGTCTATTTAATTTTCGCTTGTTATTAAAATTGAGTGTAACTTGTAAACTTCGAAGTTCGATTGAACCGGACGCCACGATAACTGTTTCGTAGAATAATAATAACAATAATATAATTTGAACTAATTGAGGAAAAGTCCCATTTAGATATACAATCAGTCTTTCTTAACTGGAACAAAACTTTCTTCTATAGGTCAATCCTTGCGTCAGACAATTTGCAATTATTATTGTGCCTTTATATTAGGTGATTTTATCTGTAGAAATTATATACTCGTATCGTCAATTTTGAGTGCCTTTTATCATTCCACAAGTACGTTCTATGCATGATGCGCTTTATAGAAAATCCACGTGAAATCAATTACAGGCGTTACAAAGTTTCTGCCATTCTTGAATGACGTTTATTTTGAACATTTCAACAGTAAGACAGATCCAAAACTAAAAAATTGTATTTATTTGAACACACGGACAGTAGAGAATTGAATTCAAACGAGTCGCCTGCTGAAGACCACCACTGCCCTGGATGCAATGGACCATCATGATTCCTGCCTTCCGGAACGCAGCCTTCAACACTTCAAGCCGTCCGTATCTAGGCCGTGGGTCGAACCAGCCCTCGGTCGAACGGCCACTTATCAGAGGACGATAAATTTTGGAACATAACTATGCTATCTGAAACATAACCTCAGATGCGGTGAACGTAAAATTACGTAATTTAACGATGCCCGGAAGTCAGATTCGATCCGCGGCCTGGTGGTGCACGGCAGGTTCTATGCGAGGCCGGAGGAAGACAAAGCCGAGTTGTTCACGGCTGATTGGTGGATGTCCGGAGAGATCCAAGGCGTTCGATAACTTCGATTCAGGGCTTATTGGTGTACAAAATTGGTGGTGCACGGCTGCGCTCCCATTCAAACGTATCTAAATTATCGACGCTGATCCTACTGATATACAGTATGAATGAAAAACCGCAATCGCGACATGCTTATACTTTGTAAATCAATTTGGAAAATGTTCATGCAACTATATAAAATTATGTCTATACCAATCATAACTCGATTTCACAAAAGACAATTTTTAGAAAGGACGAACGACTCTAAAACCTGAATTTATTACGCAGAGAAATTGCAGTCCTGCCCACGCTGTTGTATTCCACTACTTCTTGAAAGGCATGATACTTGAAAATTGTGATACATGAAGACATGAATCTCAAACTCGTGTTCCATGCTACTATATCATCGTAGAGCCATCGATGATCAAAATTGCTCGTGTGGTCGGCTGGATACGATTACAAATATTGCAGTCACGTATTGGGGGTTTGGAACCTAATATACAAGTTGTAAAAATTCATGGTGAAATCGATAACTTGGCCAGGTGGCGACAGGCCCATCCTAATAAGACACAGGCCGATATCCTAAATAGCTACAGGCTGATCCTTAATAAGAATGTCGTGAATGTAGCATCAGATCGGAATGAGGTTAGCCGGAGTTCCAGCGAAGAGCGTCACTGAGACCCAACAGGTTGCGTCAGATGCAGCAGTGCATTGCGCTGAGAGGAAA